AAACATGAGTTCCAACTAGTTCGTCCTACCCCTGTCTTTCACTGATATGGGTAATTATTGCAGCGGTAAAGGGATTCGATGTGAAGCATTGCAGTTTTCAAAATTTCATGTTATCTCTGTATTGCAACTCCTTGTTACTGTATCCGGGCATATTTCACCACAGAGACAACGTTCGCACCTCGTTATCTGGTGTATGACAAGTGACTACATAAGTCTTCTAGAGCTGGGCTGTATTTGGTGTTTGATTTCCTTGACAAGTAGAGAATGATGTAAAACTTTCCTAAACTTTAAGGATAGATAAAAGATCCATAAATTGTTGCGTCATACACCACCGTAACTATCAGTAAACGTACAGTAGAAACGGGGCACAAGCTTGTCGTTTAATCACTTTGGAAGCCTTATGTATGATGTAATAGCGTATTAAAAAATGAGTAAATATTGTGGCTGTTTAAACTACGATGTAAGCGAAAGTGTAACTTATTCAAAGTTTAGAATCGACCATTGTGCATGATATGTGATTTGTTTGGCTTCTCAAAACATTTCTTTTTAGTATCATTGCTGTGTTTCCATGTGTTTTGTGAAAAATAGCCACGTATCTATTGTCTTATTAAAGTTAATCTGGTTAATGTAATGTTCGTTAAGTTAATCTGGTTAATATGATATTGGTTAAGTTAATCTGGTTAATGTAATGTTCGTTAAGTTAATCTGTTTAATATGATATTGGTTAAGTTAATCTGGTTAATGTAATGTTCGTTAAGATAATCTGTTTAATATGATATTGGTTAAGTTAATCTGGTTAATGTAATGTTCGTTAAGTTAATCTGGTTAATGTAATGTTCGTTAAGTTAATCTGGTTAATACGATATTGGTTAAAATTTCTGTTATTGTGACCCTCGTGTCCTTTATGAATTCTATAACACATAAGTGATAGATTTATGTTACATACCGACATTCCAAAATGTAACCCATTCATTTGAGGTTTAAAAATATCAAGTACAAACATACTAAATCTAAACAGATGCTGTAAGGATCTCAGGTGAGACTTTGATAATGGTTTCTGATTTCTAGTTAGACATAGCATTTATGTCTTCTTTCACTATGTGAACAAAGTTTTTCTAGTGTCGTTAATCAATCATTCTTCGTAGACAATATACTAAAATATATATGAATAAATGGTTTTATGTGTGTATTTATTTCAGTTTTCATTACGTATGTGTTACAGAAAATATACAGACAAAACAGGCATACCCGTATCTTTGTTTCAGATATAAAATTAACATTCATGGACTATGATTAGAGGTACAGGCCTAACACAGTGAAACTGTACGTAAAAATACAAAACTGATATTAAAACTGTGTATTTATATATAGAGAGATATAATACTCAAATATCAGGATAGTGGATAGAGACACGGGATTGCCACAGTGTGACTGTGAAGAAACACATAAAACTGACATATTGTGAATGTGGAAAAACAGAAAGAATTGATATTTTGATACACTGGAGAGACACAAAACTGAAATATTAGTGCAGTCGATAAAGCCACTG